GCTTCCTGCAGCTTATCAGCAGTCCCCCAGGAGGCTCCGTGGAGCCACACCATTCAGGCTGCAGGGATGACTGCAGCGAGAAGGCTTTTAATCTGAAGGGATCTGAGCTGCGATTCATCTTCAGGCCGGCTCAGATCTCTGCCCGAGCTGAGCGTCACGACGGTGCCGTCCAATCAGACGACTGGGGGGAGGATGAGATGGTTAAACAGAAGATTATTGTCAGGATGATAAAAGAGTTGTATTGTGTTCGTTTGGACGGCAGGGCAGCGTGGGTGAAAAGAGTTGTCTGACGTGCGACTCTTTCCCTCTGAGAGCAGCAGAGATCTGGTTCTCTGAGAATTAGATCTTTTTTAACAACAGCTCAATCAAACTTCTCTCCAAACCTCAAAATACATCAAAGTAAAGACTGGTCCATCCCAAAGGTCCAGTCCCCCCCACACAAACAGTATATTGTGTATGCTGTTCAGTGTCAGAAGGGTGATGAGTCTTACAGTGGGGAAACCAAACAGCCACTGGTCAAAAGGATGGACCAGCACAGAAGATCATCATCAGACCAGGACCCTGTGGTCTACACTCATCTCCAGGTCAGAGGTCACTCGTTCAGGGATGAAGATGTTCACATCCTTGATAGAGAGGAACGATGGTTTTAGAGAGGAGTGAAGGAAGCCATCTTTGTGAAAAGAAACCGTCCGTCATTAAACAGAGGCGGCACCTCCGTGTTCAACTGTCCCCCTCTTACAATGCTGTTATTGCTAGTATCACTCAGCCCCCTGTGAATAGCAAGCGGCCATCAGGGCATTAACGATCGGTCGTTAGGCTGATGGTCCTCCTTTATCATGTGAATGAACAGCTAGTTCTGGATGTCAACAACAAACTGGATGATCCACCATGAGCAGGTGTTATTTATAAGACTGAGTTTTTTCAGCTCCTCAGACTGAAGAAGTCCTTTGGATAAAAGACGAAACTTTTCAACAAAGAAGAATCCGTCCAGAGGACGATCGTCCACAGATCCCAGCAGCTGCAGCTCCACAGCCCCACGTCTCATTAAACATTAATCGACCACGAGCCGGTGAAACTTTCCAACTGAAAAACTGATCAAGGTCAAAAGATTCAAGGTCAGCAGCTCTGCAGAAAAATATCCCTGGATTAAACTTTCTGCGCAAACGTTGAAGGCTGCTTCGTTCAAACAGGCTGAACTGGGTCATAAAGTCACGTTCTTCTGGCTGAGCTGCTCATTTTCATTTATTGTGTTTCTGCAGAGATCTGAAGAACGGAGACGGAAACGGAAAAGAAAAGGTGCGATTTGAAATCAGGATGTTTCGAACAAATCTGTAATCTGGAGGGAAATTAGCCTCGTAAATATATGACCCTCGCATGTGAGCAACAATCTGTCTAACTTTGAATAGCTGTAAATATTTATCATCGTCTTTATGTTCTTGTCTTTTCAGATTAAACAGAAACCTGTCATGTGCTTACTTCAAGCATTAAGCTGCAGTAAAAAGCACGACTGAGATAATCCAACACTTCTGGTGTTTCAGTGTTTGAAGATAAAATTTATCATCTAATAATCTCCTTCTCTGTGATTTCACGCTGAGCTGCTCTCATATCTCATCTTTTCATGGAGGCTTATTGGAAAATCAGACACGTAGATCTTTGAGATATTTTCTTCACAAACCCCACCATCCTCCTGGAGTTGAATGTGTGTGTGTGTGTGTGTGTGTGGGGGGGGGGGGGGGTCTTAGTGTAACAGGATCTCCTCTTGAGTTGGACCTGAGAGCCCTCCTGGACCTCCCTGCTCCCCCGAGCCTCAGCAGTCTGACGACCGCCGCTGTTTAAACCTTAAATGATCAGACGAGCGTTTGTGTTCGATCAGATCCACCGACAGCAACAAAACACGCAGATTGTTCAGGAGGTTTGACGTCAGCTGCAAACCCAATATCGAAAACTGGACAAACTGCGTTTCCTGTGAAAATGCAGTGTGCATGCATATTGCAGAACTGGTTGAAATCATCTGAAACTAGCATGCAAGCTTGCTGAAATGTAGCTGAAATGGAAGAATAAGCCTAAATCAGCAGAAGAAAGAACATATATTTGCTGAAACGCTTTTAAATGAACATAAATTAGCATAAAAAATAAATTACTTACCCCCTCAACCCCCCACCCCCACTGAAATTAGTGAAAAATGGCTGAAAACTAGCTGGAAGAGCAGAAAGAAGCTTCAACTACCATAACGAAGCAGAAAGAGCTGAAATGAGTTAAAAATGTGGAATTATTTGACAAAGCTAAAATTGGCATAAAAACAGATAAATAGTATCTGAAATGGCAGAAAAAAGCTGAAAGCAGTATAACAAGCTAATATTAGAAGAAAGAAGACAATTAGGCTGAAAGTAGTAATTTGGATTTTTTTAAACTGCTGAAAACAGCTAAAATTAGCTAAAAGGGTAGCTGAAAAAGTAGAACTAGCTGAAATTAGCATAAGAAATCAGAAAGAACACGTTTGCCCAATTAGGCTGAAAGAAACAGAAATTAGCACAAACAAGTGGAAATTATCTGGAAAAAGCCTAAATTAGCAGAAAACCGCTGAAAAGTAGCTGAAAATTCAGAAAGAAGCTTAAATTACCAGAAAGAAGTGGAGAGAGGACATTTTTGCTGGATTGTGCTAAAACGGGTTGAAACGAGTGCAAAAAATGTGGAATTAGCTGAAAAAAGCTCAAATTTGCACAAAACAGCTAAATAGTAGCTGAAACAACTAGCAGAAATGAGCTGATATTAGCACAACAAGCTGAAAATAACAGAAATAAGTTAATTAGGTTGAAAGTAGCAGAAATTAATATGAAAAACTTGAATTTTTTTGAAAATAACTGAAATTAGCTAAAAAAAAAGTGAGGAAAATAAACTAGCTGAAGACGTAGAACAAGTCTAAATTGTCAGAAGAAAGCAGAAAGAGCATGTCTGCCCAATTAGGCTGAAAAAAGCAGAAACGATCGGCCTCACCTTGCTGTGACATTCCACCAACAGTCCTCTGAAGATCCCACCCTAACACACCAGCACCTTTCTCTCCTTCGCGCCCCTTCACTCCGGACAGTTTGGGTTGGAGCGCCGCCACGGCCTCCTCGTTAAAACAGCCGAAGTCCTTTGTTTCCGCAGCAGCTGCCAGCAATAATCCTTCAAAAGGAAAACCATCAATCCTCCTCAAATCCTCTTTTGAAAGACGTCCGCTTGTTCGCCTCCGGACACCAATCACCAAAATAGCTGTTTGAGACCCTCCGGCTGATCCAGAGGGATCTTTAGCTCGCAAATAACCTCCAGCTTCATGTCAACTCCTTTAGCAAACACAGCAGGGATTAAGTTTTAATTTAGCTGGATTGGAGTGAAGATAGTCGGCAGTGCAAACGTTCAACAAGGACTTCTGACTAAAAATGTTTTTATTTTATTTTACAGGAAATAAGAAAATCAGCAGAGTTACGCCTAAAACATATTTAAATAAAACATTTCACTTTGTTAAGATGCTGTGACACCCCGAACAAAAGAAGCTGAAAAACAATGATTGGGTTCATAAAATGTTGTTTGAACGTTAAAATAAATAATAAAAAAAACTGCTGTGTAAGAGGGAACAAATGATGTAAAACAGTTTTTTTGTGTGTTTTTTTAGCTCCTGCCTGTAAAAACGAAGCCTCAAGGTTTCTTGCTTTGACCGTTAGCCCCATAAAGTGTTCGTTTGCACTGTCAGCAAAATATCTCACAAACCACTGGACGGATTTGGACTAATTAGTCAATGGTCAGTTGTGAGTTTTACAGATACTGATCTGAAATCTGGGGTGGTGGTAGCTGAGAGTCGCCTCTGACACACACTCTGAGGGCAACCTGAGCTTGTGTTATTAAGTGAGATCGTTCGAGGTTTGAGCGTAGCGCCAAAAGGTCCTCGCAGTTTGAAACTCTGGCGTGAAGAGTGGCGGGCGATATGCATTTCTTCAAAAATCAACTTCGTGTTAAAATAATTTTAGCCTCACCAGAATTATAAACTAAACCAGGCGTGGGCAACACGTGGCCCGAGGGCCAAAAGCGGCCCTTGGACAATCTCCACCCGGCCCAAAAATCTTAATTAAGAAAAACACGTTTCTATAAGTTGATTAACCAAAAATATGAATTTTATCACTGAAACTTAAATAAGTTTAAAATAAACATCTTGAGAAAAACATCAAAACATTCAGATAAGCTAGACTGAACTTAAACAGTTAAATTAGTTTTGGCACGTTTAACAAATTGTTGTGACAAGAGTCACTTTACAGACAGAATGTTTTTATTCACATAAATATTGTTTGTATTTCAGCTGCTCCTTCTTCAGGGGTCGCCACAGAGAACTGTCTCACATGAAGACTTTGCGATCGTTTTTATGCCGGATGTCCTTCCTGATGCAACCACAGACCACTGAGCTACCACAGCCCTCTGCGTGGAGCAGAGCGCTGCCATCTAGGGCGCCCAGGGGAGCAGATGGTTATGGGCCTTGCTCAAGGGCCCAGATTGGGGCAAATGAGGGTGGAGGTTGTTCAAACTTTCCCACCCACATTTTGATGTTGTCGGTACGAAGAGTTGAATCGGTTGATCACAGGCCCACCTTCTCTAACCTCTGCGCCACCACTCCCCAACATATAAATATTCACGCTTCATATGTTGTGTTTCTGATTTGACCTGTGTGGCGTCAGGGGCTGATTAGAGCTCTAATTTGGGCTTAGCGGCTGATCCGTCTCGTTTGTGACAGTACTGGTTCCGGACCGTGTAAACCAAGACGGCTGCCCTTCAAGGACAACGGAGCCTTATATAAAGAGGGCGACTGATCAGTTGCTGCAGGGTGACGATCCTGCTGCGGGCTGTGCAGAACTTTTGTAAAACCTAAAAGTTTTTCTGTCAGAGCTTCAGTTCCTGCTCGGTGAGTAGAGCTTTTCATTTGAAGCCTCTGACGAGACGCTGAAGGAGACGCTTTTCTTTCAGGCGGAGAAATCATGAGTGCTGACGGGGAGATGATGGTTTTCGGGCCTGCGGCCCAGTACCTGCGTAAGTCTGAGAGGGAGCGAACCGAGGCCCAGAACCGCCCGTTTGACAGCAAGACGGCGTGCTTCGTGAGCGACGAGAAGGAGTTGTACGTGAAGGCTGAGGTCCAGGACAGAGCGGACGGGAAGGTCATGGTGAAGACAGCCGACGACAGAGTGAGTCCCATATTTGTGTTAGACATCTTCGCCTCCTTCTGGAGGAAACTTTAGCTGGTGGAGAGTAAAACTCCCGAGGTGTTTGCGGAGAACAAAAGCACAGCTTCAGCTGGAGTCCAGCATCGCTGTGAAGCCTTTCAGAGCAGTAAACGGTCAGAAGTGACCCTGGAACCCGTTTGATTCCCAAACCTTCCAAGCACCGAGCGGCTCGTTGTGGGAATAATGAAGCGTTCACATTATGTGATCCATTTGTCTTCCGTACAGTTCTCAGCATCTTCATCGTCCCAGTTTTCAAGCTGTTTCAACAAATCATAAATCAAAACGTTCAGCTGTTTCAGGACAAACCCGCAGTGATTTTTGGTTTTGGTGCAACTTTAGCTTTTTGAAATATTTAGCCTTTTCTGTCATTTTTTTCTCATAGAAAAATAATTGGGCTCATTTTCTATCCTTTAGATCTGTTTACAACCTTTTACTGCTCCTTTCACATTTTGTTCTGCTTTTGCTTCTTTCAGCTTCCTTCTGCAAATTTAAACTTTTTCAGCTACGTTCAGTTCATTTCAGCTGTTTTGTGCTCCTTTCTGATTCTTTCTGCTATCTACAACATTTTTGTGCTTCTTCTAACTTGTTGCTTGTTATGCTCTTTTTAGCTCATTTATGCAATTTTAAGGTTTTTTTTTTTTTTTTGCAATTTATGTGACTATTTAGCTGTTTTATGTTAATTTTAGCTTTTTCAGCAAATTCCACACTTTTTGCACTAATTTCTATTTTTTTTCAGCTTAATTCAGAAAAATGTGCTCTCTCCACTTCCTTGTAATTATTTTAGCTTCTTTCTGCTTTTTAGCTACTATTCAATGTTTTTTTTCTAATTTCAGCTTTTTTCTGATAATTTCCACATTTTTTGTGCTCATTTCTGTTTCTTTCAGCAAATAAGTGTTCTTTCTGCTTTCTTCTGCTAATTTAAGTTAGTTAAGTTAATTTAAGTTAATTTTGCCACTTTCAGTATAATTAAATTCTTTCTGCTAATTTCTGCTCTTTTCAGCTTTATTCTACTAATTGCAGCTTTTTCTGCTATTTCAACTACTATTTATCTGTTTTTATGCTAAAATTAGCTTTTTCAGCTCATTTCAGATTTTTCAATTTACTTTTGGTAGTTTAAGCTTCTTTCTGCCTTTTCAGGTATTTTTATTTTATTTTATTTTTTGCTAATTTCAGCTTTTTTAGCTGATTTCCTATTTTTTATGCACATTTTTTCTTATTTAAACATAATTCAGCAAATGTGTTTTATTGCTTTCTTCTGTTAATTTAGGCTTTTCTTTCATTTCAGCTACATTTCAGCATGTTTTTAGGTAATTTCAGTTGTTTTTCAGCAAGTTCTTCAGCAGTAAGCGTTCGCACTGTATTTTTGCAGGAAATGTAATTTGTCTAGTTTATTTCGACTTCATGCAGACGTCTGAACGTATGTTTTACAGACTCTGACCGTCAGGGAGGACCAGGTGTTCCCAATGAACCCCCCCAAGTTCGATAAGATTGAAGACATGGTGATGATGACGCACCTCCACGAGCCTGCGGTGCTGTTCAACCTGAAGGAGCGATACGCAGCGTGGATGATCTACGTGAGTCCAACAGGAAGAAGGAGGACGTCTGAGGGTGGGGCCAGAATTTTATAATACGTAATTTATGAAGTTCAAAACTGAGAAGAGGCTAAAAACAAGAATGCATTACGAAGAAAATCCACCTTAAGTGGCTTAATGGGGAAAAGGTGCTTCAGATTGTGCTTAATTTAGGGGTAATTTAAAAAAAAAGGTAAACATCTACATGAACGACCAACAAGAGTTTCTGGACGTGTAATATTTATCTAATATTGTGATTAGTCTGATTATTGATGATGATTGTGTTATTGAAGGAAAACTAAACAAGACATGTCATTAGAGACTTAATGAAATGTTAGAGCAGCACGGTGGATCAGTGGGTAGAACTGCCGCCTCTCAGCACGAAGACTGCCGGTTCAACTCCAGTTTCCTCCCACAGACCAAAAACATGCATGTTAGGCTGATTGGTAACTCTAAATTGTCCCTAGGTGAGAAGAGAGAGAGTGAATGGTTGTTTGTTTCGTTCCCTGTGATGGACTGGAGACCTGCCCAGCCGCCTCTCTCACAGTGATATCTGGATATAGACACCAGTGACCCCCGTGACCCGAAAAGGAAGAAGCGGGTAAAGATGATGGATGGATGGATGAATGGCTGGATGGATGGATGATGAAATGATACTCCGAGCGCTTTCTGTCGCTGCCTTCCTTATTCTTTAGATGAACCCTCCTGCTGCCCTTGGGTCAAAGTGGCCCACAAGGCTGAAGCTTGTTGTCCTGGACACGAAGAATCTTTCCACTCTTTGATCTCAGCCAAAAAACAAACAAAAACAAACAAAAACAACGAACAACAAATCTTTACTGAAGCAGCAGAACTCTTCTGTTGACTTGAACAGGTGAGCTCTGTGAGCTTTTCTGTCATTAGTTGTCATTTTGACTAGAATTTTAGATTTTTTAAAATAAATAATGGAACTTTGTGATAAATCCTGCAACATCTTCAGAGTGTTGAAAGGCTGCAAGAAGACAAATTTACTAAATGCTAAAGGAACTGAACTTTGCTTCTTTCTCCATCCAGCTCCTTCCAGCAGATTTCGGCTCTTTGAACAGAACTGCTGTGATTTAGTAGCTGAAGGACGAGTCTGACTGGAAACAATTAAAAACATGGTTTGTTTCATGGTTTGATGAGACTCTGACCCAACACCGCAGGCTGACGAGGAGCTGGGATAAAAAGGATTAAAAATAAAGGATTTACAGTTTAGTTCAGATAGTTGGACGAGAAGCTCCGACTGATCGTGAAGCCTCGGACTCAGGAGCAGCAGTGGACCAGATCTTCAGCCTTACGGAGTGGCTAAGGGGGCTATGGGAGTTTGTCTTTTTCAGTCTACATGTGTTTGTGGACCTGGAAAAGGTTCATGATTGTGTTCCCCCAGGCGTTCTGTGTGGGAGGGGGGCAGCGGGAGTATGGGGTGCCTGGGTTACTGCTATCTGGTCCCTGTAGAACCCAATCAGGAGCTGTGTCCGCATCCCTGGCACAGCATCTAGTTGGTTCTCAGTGCAGGTTGGACTTTTCCAGGGCTGTCCCTGGTCTTTGACCCTGTGTGTGGTCAAAGACCAGGGACAGGATCCTAGTCTTTGACCCTGGGTGTGGTCAAAGACCAGGGACAGGATCTCAGGGTGCAGTCGTGGAGATGAGGGGGTCTAATTGGGCACCACACCAGACCCAGGAGGAGTCTGACTCAGGTGGAGGAGTTCAGGTATCTGGGCATCTTGCTCCTGAGTGACGGCGATGGATCCATGGATCGGTGTCTCGTCCTCAGTAATGAGGGTGTTGCTTCAGTCAGAAAGAGTTGAGTCTAAAGGCAAAGATCTCAATGTACTGGTCTGTCTATGTTCCAACCCTCATCTGTGGTCATGAGGTATGGATCAGAACTGAAAGAACCAGATCCTGGATCAAAGCGACCAAGATGAGCTTTCTTCGCAAGGTGGGGGCTCAGGTAAGGAGCTCCATCATCTGGAGAGAGCTCGGAGTAGAGCTGTAGCTCCTTTGCATCAAAAGGAGTCAGTTTATGAGGTTCATATGACCACAATGCCTCCTGGAGGGTTTCTGGGCACGTCCTACTGGTAGGAGACACTGGGGAAGACCCAGAACTCTCTGGAGGGATTGTGTATCTTCTCTGGTCTGAGAATGCTTTGGGTTCCCCCAGGAGGAGCTAAAGAGTGTCGCTGGGGAGGGAGAGGTCTGGGTTTCTCTCCTGGACCTCCTGGATGGAGATAGATTTGGTAGAACCAGACTGTGGGAAAGTTCTGAAAAGGAACTGGTGGCACAGAAGAACAAAACTAAACTCAAAAAGCACAAGACCTGAAAAGAAATGACCCCAACAACAAACACAACAGACACAAAAACCACAGAAAGTAAACAGCAACGCAATAAACAAAACATCTTGTTTAATGAAAAAGACACCAGAACATGTGAATAAAAGGATGTGAAATAATAAAACATAGTTCGGCTGATATTAAAATCTCGTGGCAGAATAATCAGAGCTTTGAACATGAAACACTAAAAGAGTCCTGCCGTGTCCTTGCAGACATACTCCGGACTCTTCTGTGTCACTGTCAACCCTTACAAGTGGCTGCCGGTCTACAATCCAGAGGTGGTCCAGGCCTACAGAGGGAAGAAGAGGATGGAGGTCCCGCCTCACATCTTCGCCCTGTCCGACAACGCCTACCAGTTCATGCTCACCGGTACTGCAGCTAGAAGAAACACAGACCTGTTTTCTGTCTCCGTTCCTTCTGACTCATCTGTTCTCTGTTCGCAGATCGGGAGAATCAGTCTATCCTCATCACGTAAGTGTCGTAACATCCATCGTGTTCATAAGCATGTCCGAACAGGCCTGAACTGGGAAGGGGTTGGATTTTTTTCTCAGTGGAGAATCCGGCGCTGGTAAAACCGTCAACACCAAACGGGTCATTCAGTACTTCGCAACAATCGCAGTTGCCGCAGACAAGAAAAAGGACGCAACCATCAAGATTAAGGTGAGTTTGCCGAGTCCGACGTTGGTGTTCCAGAAAGTAGGCGGAGTCAAAGTGACAGGTTGTTCGTTCCTCAGGGGACTCTGGAGGATCAGATCATCCAGGCCAACCCCCTGCTGGAGGCATTTGGGAATGCCAAGACTGTGAGGAACGACAACTCGTCTCGTTTCGTGAGTCCCACCTGAAGGCACTGCTCCAATTACCCAGAATTCTTCCAAACATGAAACACGGTCTCTTTGTTTAAATTATAGGGTAAATTTATCAGAATCCACTTTGGTGCGACCGGTAAACTAGCCTCCGCAGACATCGAAACATGTAGGTTTATACTGCAAGATGCTGAAGGTTATATGAAGCTGCTGTACAGCAAAAAGTCTCAACTTTAGTGTTTATTTCATGCAAGATCTGCTGGAGAAGTCCAGAGTGACGTTCCAGCTGGCGGCCGAGCGAAGTTATCACATCTTCTATCAGCTCACCTGCAACAAGAAGCCAGAGCTCATCGGTACACCTGCTTCCGTGCGCTTCATTTAGCATCTTTTAAGAGAATGTTTCAACCGGGTTTCCTTTTCTTCAGATCTGCTCCTCATCACCACCAACCCCTTCGACTACGCCTTCATCAGTCAGGGAGAAATCAGCGTCACGAGCATTGACGACGCTGACGAGCTGCTGGCAACAGACGTGAGGAACATGAACATCAGCGTTCAGGAGCTTCACCTGCAGCTTTAATTGTTTTATTTTTTAAACGCAGGAGGCTTTTGATATTCTGGGCTTCTCCATCGAAGAGAAGACGTCTGCCTACAAGCTGACGGGCGCCGTGATGCATTACGGGAACATGAAGTTCAAGCAGAAGCAGCGGGAGGAGCAGGCCGAGCCAGACGGCACCGAGGGTGAGGATGGTCAGCGGGAGTTTAGGACGGGATTTGTTGATTTAAAGATGAAAATGAGACTGTTTTTGTTCGTTTGTTTGTTTGTGAGCAGAGGCTGATAAAGCGGCGTACCTGATGGGCTTGAACTCTGCCGACCTGCTGAAAAACCTCTGCTACCCCAGAGTGAAGGTTGGAAACGAGTTTGTCACCAAAGGACAGAACGTTCAGCAGGTTAAACGCTTATTAACAAACTCATTGAACTTTCCAACAATTATGTGTGAAGTCCCCCACCCTCAACATTTAAAAAATATTCATTCGGATACCCCCCCCCCCCCCCACACACACACACACACACACCGTTTCCATGAAATATTAGTTAGGGGCGATTCTAGAATATGACCTTTAGGGGCTGCTCAGCCCCAGTGCTAACAATGGCTCTTGGCTTGAACAGTGTGGGGTGAGCTAACCTCAGCCAAACAAAGATAGCTGTAGTGGTAGAGGCGTTGAAGCATTTTATTATAACTTATTGCTTCCTAATTAAATTGTATTATGAAATTATGTATTTTTATGTCAAGTTTATTTGATCTTTTCAACATTCTTAAATGTATTTGACATCATTTTGCATCTCTTTATTTATTTATTTTTTAGTTTTTATACATTTATGGTCACAAATTCAACATTTTTCATCACATCAAATACTGTTTTGTGTCTTTGGTTGCCTCATGTCAAACTTTTATTCGTTTTAGGTGTACAACTCCATCGGTGCTCTGGCCAAATCCGTGTATGAGAAGATGTTCCTGTGGATGGTTCTACGGATCAACCAGCAGCTCGACACCAAACAACCCAGACAGCATTTCATTGGAGTTCTGGACATCGCTGGCTTTGAGATCTTTGATGTAGGTCTTTGACACCCAACTGTAAACTTCTCAGGAGGTCACTGAACATCATGAGCTCATTCATCTTTACTTGTTGTGTTTAGTACAACAGCATGGAGCAGCTGTGCATTAATTTCACCAATGAAAAGCTGCAGCAGTTTTTCAACCACCACATGTTCGTCCTGGAACAAGAAGAATACAAGAAGGAAGGCATCGAGTGGGAGTTCATCGACTTTGGGATGGATCTGGCAGCCTGCATTGAGCTAATTGAAAAGGTAACCTTAGAACTTACCCATTAGAACTAAAAGCCTGCGATGGAGTCGTTAACGGTATGGTTTCTTTAAAGCCGATGGGAATCTTCTCCATTCTGGAAGAAGAGTGCATGTTCCCAAAAGCCACGAACGCTTCCTTCAAAAACAAACTGTACGACCAACACCTTGGCAAGAACAGCTGCTTCCTGAAGCCAAAAGTTGTGAAAGGGAAGCCTGAGGCCCACTTCACGCTGGTGCACTACGCCGGCACCGTGGACTACAACATCACCGGCTGGTTGGTGAAGAACAAAGACCCCCTGAACGAATCCGTGGTCCAACTTTACCAGAAGTCTTCCAACAAAATCCTGGCCATGCTGTACGCTAGCTTCTCTGGAACAGATGGTTGGTTGGTTTTAATACCTTTTAATTCATTTTCTTTGCACTTTATTGTGTAAATAGTATTTTTTTTATTGACATTGTTGCAGAGGCATCTGCAGGAGGAAGTAAGAAAGGCTCCAAGAAGAAGGGAGCGTCTTTCCAAACAGTTTCAGCTCTGTTCAGGGTAAGGAAAAATGGACAATGGACTGTACTTACAGTATATAGTGTCTTTCTGTCTTATCAAGTCCCTCAAAGCGCTTAAATAAAAATACTAACTATTCAGACACCTTCCATCATCCAGAAGTCCATCCATCCATCATCTTCCTCTTGTTCTGAAGTCAGGTCTCGGGGGCAGCAGCTTCAGCAGGGAGGTCCAGACATCTCTTTCCACAGCCTCCTCTTCCAGCTCTTCTGAGAGGACTCCAGTATGTTCCCAGGCCGAACTGAAAGACTTAGTCTCTCCAGTGTGTCCTGGGTCTTCCCCAGGGTCTCCTCACAGTCAGACATGCCTGAAGCACCTCCCTAGGGAGGCGCCCAAGAAGCATCCTTACCAGATACCCAAACCACCTCAACTGGCCCCTCTTGATGAGGAGGAGTAGAGGTTCTACTCTGAGTCTCTCCTGATAACTGAACTCCTCATCCCATCTCTAAGGGAGAGTTCATCTACCCTGCAGAGGAAACTCATTTCAACTTTCTGTATTCACAATCTCATTCTTTCAGTCACTTCCCTGAGTTCATGACCAGAGGTGAGGGTAGGAGCGTAGACTGACCAGTAAAAAGAGAGCTTTGACTTAAAGCTCAGCTCTCTCTTCATCACAACAAACCAGCACAGAGTCCACAATACTGCAGACGCTGCTCCAATCTATCTGTCAATCTCACTCTCCACTCTTCCCCCACTTGTGAACAAAACCCTGAGATACTTGACATACAATCAAAACTCTACAAAGAATATTAAAGAAACCTAATTTTACCACCCAGGAGAACCTCGGGAAGCTCATGACCAACCTGAGAACGACTCATCCTCACTTTGTGCGCTGCTTGATACCAAACGAGACCAAAACACCAGGTAGTTTCGGATAAGATGAACATATTTATCACAATAAGAATGCCAGAAATAATTCTCCCCTCTGATGAAGGCACCATGGAGAACTCACTGGTCATCCACCAGCTGCGCTGCAATGGTGTGCTGGAAGGAATCCGGATCTGCAGGAAAGGATTTCCCAGTAGAATCCATTATGGGGACTTCAAGCAGCGGTAAATACATTTTAATCTTCAATATTTGAGAATGTGTACTTCTATGTTCAGGTCTGAACTCCCACCTCAGGTACAGGATTCTGAATGCCAGTGCCGTTCCTGAAGGCCAGTTCATGGATAACAAGAAAGCTGCAGAGAAGCTGCTGAACTCCATCGATGTGGATCACACGCAGTACAAGTTCGGACACACCAAGGTTTTAATTCACCGCTCAGCTGCTGTAAACACTTTTGATGAAGAAACTTTAATGGAGCAGTGATGGATAATTTCAGGTGTTCTTCAAAGCCGGCCTGCTGGGGGCCCTGGAGGAGATGAGAGATGAGCGGTTGGCCCAGGTGGTCATGTCCACTCAAGCTCTGTGCCGCGGTTACATCGTCCGACTGGAGTACCACAAGATGGTGGCCAGAAAGTAAAACCTTTACCGATTTAAAGCATGAAAATGTAAAGTTTGACGCTTGAACGTAAGACGGGATACCACGCATGATCTTTGAGGGCTCAGACTATGTGTTGGCGATGACTCTCAGCTACTACCACGCCAAACTTCAGTTGTAGATCTGTAAAAGTAGCCGAGTCATTGCAAATGTTTTTTTGTAAGCTGACGTCAATTAGCCATAGAGAATATCTTGAATGAAACAGTCCGCTGTAAATGTGCATCTAATGATCACTTTCTGACAAGTTCTTTAAAATTTGTCCCATAGTTATTAATAACTACTTAGTTATTGTTAGTTCATATTTTGTTAACACTACAAACAAATGAACACTGACAATAAATATTATCTCCTGCCCTTTAGCTATTGGCGATGGGCGATAAAAATAGGAACGTCACAACTAGATGAAAATAAAAACAGGATATGTCTTGGCTCCTCAAAGTTTATATATTTGTTAGCTACAGTTAGTTAGCTTAGCTTAGCAAAAAGACATGGAGAGAAAACAGATGGTTTGATTCTATCCAGAGAAACAAATATTTACTTACATCTTCAAAAGTCTCTGATTCAAGAGTCTCTGAGTTATTTCCTAAGATTTAGTGACATCTTGTGGCACTGAAGCAGCTTCTTCTACTAAATCCATCCATCATTCATCAACCCATCATCTTTTTCTTGCTTCTTGCTCTTTGGGTCACTGGGGTCACTGGTGCCCATGTCCAGCTGTCACTGTGTGAGAAGCAGAGGACACCTGGACAGGTTTCCAGTCCATCACAGGGACACCTGGACAGGTTTCCAGTCCATCACAGGGACACCTGGACATGTCTCCAGTCCATCACAGGGACACCTGGACAAGTCTCCAGTCCATCACAGGGACACATAGAGACAAATGAGACAACCATTCACTCTCTCACTGAAAGGCAACAGCTCTACCCACTGAGCCACCGTGCCATCCATACTAAATACAGAGAAAGTGAAATCAGTATAAAATATTCTACAGACTTGATTTCTGAACGGAATGAAAAACCTTTATACAACTTTCATTTTAGTCTGGAAATATGTGAATTTTGAGAACACCTCTGGACCCCAAAGGTAAAAATACTAAAACTGGTCCAATTCTGCTTGGGTGGTCTAATCTTCTATGTTTTGGGGCTACAACGCAGATCGAGGCCGACACAACATAGGTGGAGGTGAGGATGGTATTTAGCACAGAGGTGGTACAACTTATTGGAAGTACTGACTGACATGGAGCTAACACTGTTCAGACGTGCCCTCATTAACCCTTCAAATATCCAGACTCATTTCTGAAAGCACATTGATTTAATGAGCAGCCTTCACTGAAACATAAAAACTGAGGTGGATGTTTCCGTCCAACAGGGAGGCCATCTACACGCTGCAGTACAACCTCCGTTCCTTCATGAACGTCAAACACTGGCCGTGGATGAAGCTCTACTTCAAGCTGAAGCCTCTTCTGAAGAGCGCCGAGGCCGAGAAGGAGATGGCCCAGATGAAGGTGGATTTCACAAAACTCAAGGAGGATCTGGCCAAGTCGGAACACCGGCGGAGGGAGCTGGAGGAGAAGATGGTCTCGGTTGTTCAGGAGAAAAACGACCTCCTGCTTCAAGTCCAGGCTGTGAGTTGAACTGTTACGACGCTGCGCTAACTTCACTTTATGGAAGCTGATCGGCGCAAAAACCTGATTTCAGGAAGCCGACAACCTGCTGGACGCAGAGGAGAGATGTGAAGGACTCATCAAGAGCAAAATCCAGCTGGAGGCCAAACTGAAGGAGGTGACGGAGAGGCTGGAGGACGAGGAGGAGGTGAACGCCGAGCTTACCGCCAAGAAGAGAAAGCTGGAGGACGAGTGCGCGGAGCTGAAGCGGGACATCGATGACCTGGAGCTGACTTTGGCCAAGGTGGAGAAGGAGAAACATGCCGTGGAAAACAAGGTGAGCCAGAAACCTTCTGCTGTGTTGAGCTGTTGGAGGAAAAAACATCTTAATGTTTCTCCAAACCACGACTGCAGGTGAAAAACCTGATGGAGGAGATCCTGAGTCAAGACGAAAACATCTCCAAACTTTCCAAAGAGAAGAAAGCTCTGCAGGAAGCTCACCAGCAGCTGCTGGATGACCTGCAGTCCGAGGAGGACAAAACCAACTCCCTGACCAAAGCTAGAACCAAACTGGAGCAGCAGGTGGATGAGGTGAGTCACCCAGAGCACGACGAGCAGCAGGGCGGGAGCGTCCGAGGCAGCGCTGATCCACAGCTTATTGTTTCAGCTGGAAGGCTCCCTGGAGCAGGAGAAGAAGGTCCGCATGGACCTGGAGAGAGCCAAGAGGAAGCTGGAGGGGGATCTGAAACTGGGCCAGGAGTCCATCATGGATCTGGAGAACGAGAAGCAGCAGCAGGACGAAAAGCTCAAGAAGTAAGGAGGAAATGATTTGTTCTTGGATGGAGATAACCGTGTGATCTTTCTACGTTTGAACGGTGCATTGATCAGATTAAAATGATAAAAGGCTTCCTCCAACATGTGCTCAGATCAGACCCGTTCATTAAAGTGAGTCACGTTCAGTTTTAATCTGCTTTTATTTAATTGTTTAAAGCCAATTTTCAGAAAAAGAGAGCACACAGTGCAACTGCTGAGCCAGCATTTTGACTTGTTTCACTTTATTCACAAATATTTTCCCCTCAGAGAAAAACAGTGTCTTTATCTTCTGATGCTACTTTTAGCTACATCTAGCCTTTAGCTACAGTTTTGCTATTTTTTACTTTTAGCAGCTATTTAGTCAAGATTAGCTTTTAGCCACTGTTTAGATCATTTTAGCTCTGGTTCAGCTGATTTTACCTTTAACGTTTCATTCCTCAACAGAATTCAGAAAAGTCCTTCAGCATGCAGTGTTCAGACAGAAAATCTTTTTTCCTCCTATTTTACACAAAAACAGTGACATCAGTTTTGTGACTTCTGCTAATTTAGACTTTTGTTTCAAAATGAGAGCAAAAAGTTCTACATTTTATAAAAAAAAAGTAAAAAAACGCAAGTTTTATCAAATTTACCAAAGTTAGCTTGATAATACACACAACGAGGTATCAGTACAGATTGCAAACAGCACATTTTCATACTGAAATAAAATATAAGGCGAATATTCACATGAAGCACGAAAACAAACTTTAATCAGTGTCCCAGGTTTTTTTTTAAGTACTAAACGTGCTTAAAAATTACTCAAGTCCAGCTCATTTTATGCTGTGGGCAATAAAAGTTTAAAATAAAAAGGTTCAACTGGTTTTGGGTCATTTTGACCCAAGGACAGCAGGAGGGTCACCAGAACATGGAGCGACCTGTCAGGTCCATCCATTGAGGAGAAATGATTAATAATTAGTTGATGCTGTAGGTATCAAATCTAAAACCTTCACTTATTTATCAGTTCATTCATTTCTGCTCCGTTTATTTTGTCATTAAAAAACTAATCCCGCAGCCCCGGTCATTTGAGGAAACAATGTTTTCTAGTTTTTATGTTGCCTAAAAGTATAATTTTCTCAAATGATTGGGGTGGTCAAAAATTATGGGGGGCAGGGCCTCTACTGGCCACCCCCTGCCTCCACCACTGCACCTGATGGTGGATAAAAATTTGTCACTCTGCTTAAAATAATCTCCCTCTGTTCTTCTACACAATGTAATATTTTGCACTATAAACATTTGTTTACTCTAATTTGTTCAATTCCAGCCCAGAAAAACATTCATCTCCAAAACTACAAACATTTACCATTCAGATTCCTCAGTGTCGACGTACCACTTGTTCTGCACCAGCTTAGTTTTCTCATTTTGTGAGGGCTAAATGTGAGAAAACGTTCAGGACGGACTCTGAGCTTCGTTTCGTTTTGCAGGAAGGACTTTGAGTTGTCTCAGCTGCAGGCGAAGATCGAAGATGAGCTGTCACTCAGTGCTCAACTTCAGAAGAAGATCAAAGAGCTTCAGGTGAGGAAGACTCACTCATACACGTTTTACTGGAAGATCTGGACCTCAACTCCTCCTATAAGTTTATTTGCTTTTATCATGTTGAAGCTGTATTAAATATCATATTTAATCTTACACAGTAATCCGTATATTACATTATTCTCTTAAAATAATAAGAAAATTAATGTGCAGCTCTCAAATAATACGTTGGGGATGACTCTCAGCTACTACCACGCCAAATTTGAACTCAAAATCTGTAAAACAACCAAAGGTGGAGCCATGTCTGTTTCTCCAACCTGAAATGAGTCATTTTAACATCTAATCAACATTTTCCATAATTTAATCAAAATGCTTCCTGCAGTTCATGGGATATTTTGTCAACAGAGACAGAAAAGACTCCAACAATGAAATGGCAAAGTTTAAAGCTAAATGATGGGCTCAATCGGTGCTCAGCGTTTGGTCTTGAACTTAAAAGTCCTGGCTGCCACAAACTCTGACCGTTTCTGTTTCAAAAAGACACATTTCCAAAATAATATTTGTGCGTTTGCCAAGTTTTAAATGTTTTGGCTCTTTGGTTCCTTCGACAGTTACTGCCAGGTAACTACTTTAATTTACATTGATCAATTCAGCCTTTATTTAAACAGATAAATCACATTAAGCCTTGAAGACTTATTTACAAGTGCGACCTGTTTGGACAGACAATAAATTGGTGAAAGTGACAACAGGTTTTGGAGGCAAAAAAAATTCTTAACATGCTCTTAATCATTGGCTGAAGATTAAAAACATGAAAATGAAAAAAACATCGCACACTAGCACATAATGATGCCGACATTCCGCAGGGGGGTGGGGGAACGTAAGGATGCTCAGCATGTCCAGAGACAACACTCAGAGGCACTGCATGAGTTCTGATAAGAGTGGTAAATCACTCAGTTCACTAGTTCCCTCTGGAAAGATCCATACACTCTTGGTTGGTGCCAAGGATGGCTAAGGACAACATCAAATAGAATCCCATGAGTCCTGAAATGATGACAGAATGTCTATTCAGCCAGGCCCCTCTGATTGGTCTGTAAAATTCCTCGGTGGGAGGGGGGAGGGGGGCAGAGCATCAAGGTTTACAGAGCTTCCAGGTGAATTAAGATAAGGTGACCTGTCAAGGCCAGTCAGGGAGCCAAATTCAGATAAACACGATTGTTTTGGGACAGGCAAAACTTTAATGACATCTACCTTGAGTCTGTGTCAGTTCACTCAGTTCCGAAACGTCCAAATTAAATGGCCACACCAATGGAACGTGCCTGAGAATAATCCCAGAGATCTGATCCATTCTGCCAAAAGCATTTGAGTCTGGGTGCTCGAGGCACGAACCAAGCCATCAGACCAGGGCCAAATTTGCTGCAGACGACTTCCTTATATGTTGATAGACAAAGAACCAGCCGAATCCAAAAAGTAGGAAACCAGTTATCATAAATCCAATTATATATGTGTATTTAACATCCACAGTTGATAACAGAGATAAACACATCATCAAGTCTTCCAAGTTGATGAGATATTCAGCTGCGTGCGTGCCAACAGGGCAAATCGGCTCGCCTAAAGCCTGTCTTGTCTTCAAAGAAATGTTATCAATTGTGTTGAGGGACCAACTGAACAAATCCATAGCAGAATTATGATTTGGAAGATTTGTACAAGAGAGGCTCTAAGCAGTTTCACAGACAGGACCGAGCAAAGCGGAGAGGGAGAGGAGGAGAAAGGCATCCGCCCTTGACAAGAGCAAGTGTTGAAAAATTATACTGTAATTTACAGGCCAGGATCGAGGAGCTGGAGGAGGAGATCGAGTCTGAGCGTTCATCTAGAGCCAAAGTGGAGAAGCAGAGGTCCGATTTGTCCAGGGAACTGGAGGAGATCACCGAGAGACTGGAGGAGGCCGGAGGAGCCACCGCCGCTCAGGTGGAGATGAACAAGAAGCGTGAGGCTGAGTTCCTGAAGCTGCGTAGGGACCTGGAGGAGTTGTCTCTGCAGCACGAAGGTACGTCCGCCGGTCTGCGTAAGAAGCACGCCGACAGTGTGGCTGAGATGGGAGAGCAGCTCGATAACGTCCAGAGAGTGAAGCAGAAACTGGAGAAGGAGAAGAGCGAGCTGAGGCTAGAGCTAGACGACCTCTCCAGCAACATGGAAACCATCGCCAAGGCAAAGGTGGGGGGTCGAACTAAACCTGGATCTGCTGGGCTGAGGCTGCTGGGGACTAACTGTGAACAGTGTTCATAAGGGAGTCTCCAAAATGTTCAAGACGTCCTCATTTTCCTGGTTTGAGTCGCAGAGCCTCATTAAAAAAACATCTTTGACAAATTCCCCCTCATCCGAGGAGTCTGGAGCTCATCTCGCTTCAGTTTCTGTGAATCAAATGAGAACTGTGGGGGAGGCGACAGACCCAATGAAAACTGGACCTTCTTGTTGTCATCAGCATCAAGGAGACCTGCTGCAGCTTCTGCACCTCCACTCAGAGATCCAGATCGCTTGATGTCTAATGACAAAATGAGTTCTGGACTGGGGGACAGTCCTCATCTGGTCCAGATTTATTGTCTCACATACCTATCACACCATTGTTGCATGATACAAGGTTCTTCTTACTATGGAAAGTGTAACTATGTTGGAAGAATGTTGTGTAACAGTGGTGTGCTATTTATGCATGTTGTGCACAAATTTTGCCCCAATCTTTGCAGAGTGTTTGTGCAAAATACTCAAACATGTTGAAAGTAACCTGTTCTTGTGTCCAAGCAGTCACAGCCCAGAGAGAGCCTCACGTTAATGTTTCATGTTCTGCTCCACGACACCAGAATAAGAACATTTCTCATTTTTCAATCTTCAGATTAACTTAGAGAAGATGTGTCATTCACTTGAAGATCAGCTGAGCGAGGTAAAGAACAAGGAGGAGGAGCACCTGAGGCTCATAAATGACCTGTCGAGTCAGAAAGCTCGGTTGACCACAGAAAATGGTGAGGAGCTTTTCATCCCATCTGAATAATCCTGCACAGAGTAAAACATCCTCACAGATTGGTTTGTGGTGATTCCTTTAGCTGAGATGGCTCGGCAGCTGGAAGAAAAGGAGTCCTTAATGTCCCAGCTGGCCCGAGCAAAGCAAGCCTTCCTTCAGCAGATCGAGGAGCTGAAACGACTTCACGAGGAGGAGGTGAAGGTGAGGTCTGAGGAAACACGATTGTACTGTGGAGAAGTTTAAATCTTTAAATGGTTTCTTTCCTTCTGTCAAGGCTAAAAACGCCCTGGCTCACAGCTTGCAGTCATCTCGCCACGACTGCGAGCTCCTCAGAGAGCAGTATGAGGAGGAGCAGGAGGCAAAAGCTGAGCTGCTTCGCTGCCTGTCCAAGGCCAACAGCGAGGTCGCTCAGTGGAGGACCAAATACGAGACGGACGCTATCCAACGGACAGAGGAGCTGGAGGAGGCCAAGTAAGATCAAACCACTTCACAACACTCAGGTTCGTCAGGGAAGACGGTGATGCAGCTCGTGTTCTTCTGCAGGAAGAAGCTAGCTGTCCGTCTGCAGGACGCAGAAGAAGCCGTGGAGGCCGTGAACTCCAAGTGCTCCTCTCTGGAGAAAACCAAACACCGGCTGCAGGGAGAAGTGGAGGACTTGATGATGGACATGGACAGGTCCAACTCGGCTGCCGCTGCGTTGGACAAGAAGCAGAGGAACTTTGACAAGGTTTAAAACACCCTTGAATGTTTCGTGACCATCTTAGAAACTTTTAACACTTCCAATCAAACAAGAGGTAAACACGTTTTATATCTATAATCAAGAAAGAACGTCTTTTAGTTCTGCACAATCCTGCAGCTTCAGCTGAGATTTCAGTAAACAAACTAAAAGCAAAACCCACGCCTACAGCACCTGGTGTAAAGCGTAACTGCACTTTTGCCAGGAATTACTCAACATCCCAATAAAGGAACGACTAAGTTTGCTGTTCAAGGACGTCCAGTCCTGTCCTCTAGGGCTACTGTCTAGGCTTGTTTTGTTGTCTCGCTGCACCAGCACGCCTGATTCAATAACTGAACTATCATATTTTTCGGCCTATAAGTCTTTTTTTAGGCCTAATTTGCAGATCCTGCAACTTATACGCCGAAGTGACGTATTTATTGATTTTTTCCCCCATATTTATAAACCAATTTTTGTCTGAAATATGACCATTTTCATTCATTCTGACTGAAAATATCGAACATTACCATTTTCAGCCAATAGATAGCACTCGAGTTGTATGGCATGCCATTGTGTCATGTAATAAGTAAAGGTGGCTGTTAATGACACAATTGGCTTGCCATAGCCTGCCACCTTTGTGCAGCTCGCTTGGAGCCACCGTCAAATCAGCTTCATTTTGTTGCGCCGCCCCGGCCAAATGCAACTAATTTTACCACTGAAGTGTATTTATTAAGTAAAAGTTCAACTGAGACACTTTTCTATAAAGTTGAGCAAACAAATAATTGTTTTTAGGTGGTTATCTTATGAAATTTTGAAGAAATGCACAGCGAATTGTCTCATCCATATGCCTACTTCTGTTTCGACGTTTGAAATTCAGCTGATTTGATCGTCTAAGTGCATTTATTAAGGAAAAGTTAGACTGAGACACACCTTTACTATAATTTCAAGCAAACAAATAATTGTTTTTAATTGTTAATCTTGTTAAATTCTTGTTAAAGTCCTCCTGTACAGGCTCCCGCGGCCGCCATTTGGCAGCCAATTGATTTTTGGAACAACACCGGCCCACATTTCTGGGTTATCAGCGGTGACACGTAACAAACACGACGCGTCAGTGGTGACACATAATAGATGCAACGTATTTATGGATTTTTCCACTTTATTAGATATATTTGGATTGATGCGACTTATAGGACGGTACGATGTGTACAGTGGAAAATACGGTACTTCTTCAGTGTGTTCTGGAGTTCTGCAGAAGCCTGTTGATGAACTATTCTGTAAATCAGGAGTGTTAATCAGCGAAACCTCTAAAACAAAGTGGATCAAAGAGGAATCAGGATTGGACGATACCGCTGTAGAACATGAGCGATCAACTGCACAGGTTTTACAAATGTGTCAATGTTCTTGACCTGCCGAAGGAAAGGTGGAGTCAAGTCCTGCAGGGCAACTTCAACGATCAGCTGCACAAAAAGAAAAGAAAGACCTTTTCAAGAAGAACCTTTTCGTGATGTTTTTACGTTGGACCTGGCGAACAGTCAAGCCTTTACCAGAAAGTGACGCCTTGTCCCCTCGCGGTCTCTGTCCTCAGATTGTGTCCGAGTGGAAGCAGAAGCACGACGAGGGTCAAGCAGAGTTGGAGGCAGCTCTGAAAGAGGCCCGCTCTTTGGGAACGGAGAACTTCAAGATGAAGAACGCCTTTGAGGAATGTCTGGAACAAGTTGACACGCTAAAACGAGAAAACAAAAATCTTCAACGTGGGTCAAAGCCCTTTCTGAATCGTTCGTAGGCTTGGTCTACAGATATATTAATTACAGTTTCCTTTTCTTCACAGAGGAAATAATGGACCTCACAGAGCAGCTGGGAGAGACGATCAAATCCATCCACGAGCTCGAAAAGTCAAAGAAACAAGCAGAGCAGGAGAAGTTAGAGGCCCAGGCAGCTCTGGAGGAAGCAGAGGTACGCAGAAGAAAAATAAACTTATCTTCATTTCTCCCATCTCTGGTTCTAATTCTTTTCTGCCAGGCCTCGCTGGAGCACGAAGAATCCAAAATTCTGAGGGTCCAGCTGGAACTGAACCAGGTGAAGTCCGAGGTGGACAAGAAGATCGCTGAGAAGGACGAGGAGCTGGAGCAGCTGAGGAGGAACAGCCAGCGAGTCGTCGACACCATGCAGAGTAATTTAGATGCTGAAGTCCGCAGCAGAAACGATGCCTTGAGGGTGAAGAAGAAGATGGAGGGAGACCTGAATGAGATAGAGGTCCAGCTGAGCCATGCCAACAGGCAGGCAGCCGAAGCTCAGAAACAGCTGAGGAACATTCAAGTTCAGCTGAAGGTGGGCAGTCTGCTTATTGTGAGCAAGAAGAGAACCCTGCTGGGTTTATAAATCTAAAGGATTATTTTAATCTCTTCAGGAGGTCCAGATCCACCTCGACGATGTCTTGAGGAGCAACGATGACCTGAAAGAGCAGGTCGCCATGACGGAGCGCAGGAATAACCTCCTGCAGGCCGAGGTGGAGGAGATCCGAGCAGCTCTGGAGCAGACGGAGAGGAGCCGAAAGTTAGCCGAGCAGGAGCTGCTGGACGCCAGCGAGAGGGTCCAGCTGCTTCATTCACAGGTTTTCATGCTGCACTTCAGCCACACAAACTGTTCGTCACACAAAAACCAACAGAACCAGTCCGTTCCCACTGCTTACCCAATGGCAACTGCAGCGCCGGTGTTCCACTGAGACTTAACCAGAGATGACCGAGTCAACTTGTTGTATCCAACGACGTGACTCTACCTCCAATCGTCTCTGCTGCGTAGCAAACTGGGACATTCATTGCATCACATCTGAAATAAAACAGGGATGAGTTGAGGTGTACTGCGTTACCATGAAAATGATCTACAATAAAAAAGATCTACAATAAAAATGATCTACACTGGCACCTCCGTCTGGCACTTTGGATCAGATCGCTCGCACAGCTTGGTGCAAACACGTCTTCATTAATTTTAGGTAGTATCACTCTGAGCTGTGGCTGTTTGCACTGAGGCTTGTAGTCCGGAGTCACCACAGGCATCTTGAACACTTCACTTTTGTCATGGCCGTCTGCAACGGGTCTCAAGAAAAGTAGAGCTGGATTTTGATACCTGCGTGGGAGATCCTCTATGATGGAAAACATTTGAGGCTTCAATCCTGAATCTCCAGGTCTAAAAACCACAATGATGATAAATAACTGTAAAAAAAACTGGTCCAGATCTACCTTTCATCATTTCTAAAGTGTAATCCAGCAGATTAAATAATAAGACAGAGTACATGTGTGTGAATGAGAGGTGAAACAGTGAAGCCACAAGGAGCAGAGGTCACAAAGGTGCAGGAATTCAAGGACTTGGGGTCCACTGTTCAGGAAAATAAGGAGTGTGGTAAAGAGGTGAAGAAGAGAGTCCTGGCAGGATGGAGTGGATGGAGAAAAGTTTCAGGAGTGATTTGTGACAAAAGGGTGTCAGCACAGGTCAAATGAAAAGTTTACAAGACAGTGGTGAGACCAGCTATATTGTATGGTCTGGAGACAGGACATGGACAAAAAGACAGGAGACAGAACTGGAAGTGGTAGAAATGAAGATGTTGAGGTTCTCCTTAGGAGTGACAAGGATGGATAAGATTATGAATGAGAACATCAGAGATACAGCACAGGTTGAACAACTGGAAGATAAAGTTAGAGAGGCCAGACTGAGATGGTTTGAACATGTCCAGAGGAGGGACAGTGGTTTGAACATGTCCAGAGGAGGGACAGTGGTTTGAACATGTCCAGAGAAGGGACAGTGGTTTGAACATGTCCAGAGGAGGGACAGTGGTTTGAACATGCCCAGAGGAGGGACAATGGTTTGGACATGCCCAGAAAAGGGACATTGGTTTGGACATGTCCAGAGGAGGAACAGTGGGTATATTGGTAGAAGGATGTTAGAAATGCAGCTGCCAGGAAAAAGACAAAGAGGAGATACATGGATGCAGTTAGAGAGGACATGGAGGTAGTTGGAGTGAGGACAGAGGATGCAGAGGACAGAGATGGAGGAGCAGGATGACGCACTGTGGAGACCTCTGGAGAGGGAAAAGCCGAAAGAAGAAGACTCCAGCAGATTAAATCATACCAAAAGGTACAAAGTGGGCTGAGGTGGGTATCATTATAATGTGCGCTACCAACAATGCACAACCTGAATTATTGATCATGAACTTTGGTGCCAATAATGCAGTTTTGCAAGCCTTGCACCAGATGGTAGGCTGAGATTTTAAAAACCTGCACACAAACTGGTCTGCAATGGATAATTTTCCATTTTGTAAATTATACTTTCAGTTCCAACAGCCGCAGCCCAGTGGGACTCTAGCTTTGGCATCTTTATATGACAAGGAAAACTTGTGATGAGCATGTTCCTGCACGCTGTTATCAAATGACTGACTGCTTACAGAACACCAGCCTGCTGAACAGCCGGAAGAAGCTGGAGGTCGATCTGTCTCAGATTCAGAGTGAGATGGACGATAGCGTCCAGGCAGCGAGAAACGCTGAGGAGAAAGCCAAAAAGGCCATCACTGATGTAAGAAATTCATATTTTGTCTCTTTCTACACTATTATAGATATTTGTTCAAACTGATTGTTTTTATTCACTCGTTTCAATCCACACTAATAAAAACTCAGAAGAACCATACCGTGCCACTAGGTGGCGATAATGTCCACGTTAATGACATCACAATAGAGCGCAAAAACATTTTTGTTGGGCTAAAGATAGTCATAAAACAATCTTTTTTCTTTGATATTGTTTACAGTTTCCTCGGTTATGAATTATTTCAGCATATGGTTAGAGGTTAATGGTGACGACATCAGGATGAAGTGAAACAGACGGAAAATGGATAAAAATGGTTATTTTGTTGTTGTTTTCTTGTCCTGAGAAAAGCAGCAGTCACTAGATAGGATGCCTCCATTTTTCAGGCTGCCATGATGGCTGAGGAGTTGAAGAAAGAGCAGGACACCAGCGCTCACCTGGAGAGGATGAAGAAGAACCTGGAGGTGACGGTGAAGGACCTGCAGCAGCGTCTGGACGAGGCCGAGAACCTAGCCATGAAAGGAGGCAAGAAGCAACTGCAGAAGCTGGAAGCGAGGGTAAAGTATCCCATGTGGCTCGGTTCCCTGAAGTGTAAGACCTTTTATAAGTTGCAGGCTTCGGTCTTTATTGCAGGTGCGGGAACTGGAGAATGAGCTTGAAGCAGAACAAAAACATGGTTCGGAGTCGGTGAAGGGTGCGCGCAAGCTTGAGCGCAGAATGAAAGAGCTCACGTATCAGGTAAGAAGAACCTGAAAGTTTAGTTAATTACAGAAAAGATGATCCCTGATTCTTCTTCTCTTCTCGTCAACCAGTCCGAGGAGGACAAAAAAACCATGATGAGGCTGCAGGAGCTCGTGGACAAACTCCAGCTGAAAGTCAAAGTGTACAAGCGGCAGGCCGAAGAGGCTGTGAGGACTTTCATTCTCAAATATCAGTTAAGATGAGAACGGATGATGTTTTAAAAATCGTTTATTTGGTTTCTGGCAGGAAGAGCAGACCAACGCTCACCTGACTAAACTGAGGAAGGTGCAGCACGAGTTGGAGGAGGCTGAGGAGCGAGCGGACATCGCCGAGTCCCAGATCAACAAAATGAAAGTTAAAAATCGCGACATGGCCAAGGTGTGTTACTCCTCAACTACACCTGCCCGAAGTCACGTCACACAATCGCTCAGAGGTCTAGATTGCTTGCTCAGTGACACCATTTTAACCTCCTAGGACCTGGCATCCACTTATGCAAGAGTTCGGGTCTTAGGAGGTTAAGGGATTTGGCTCTCCAGGTCAAACCATTAGGAAGGACAGTAAATTCAGTTTGTGGTGCGGGTCTGAACCTCATCCTGAAACATTTCCAACAGACCATACATCTGTGATAAGCAAGCAAAACTGACTCAAACCTGAAGATCCAAACCTGCTTCTTACCCCTAACTTTAACCTTTCAACAAACCCGCTCAGCCAGAGATGTGCACGGAGCCCGGCCAGTTTGGTGCCAAGATCGTCATTTGCATGAACCCCTCAACTATTCGTGACCCGTCACATCAAAACAAGGATTAAGTTGCAACGTGGTGTATTGAGTCAGCATTTTTTTAACTGATGAATGACTATCTTATCTATGGTCCTTTGAAGGAGATGTCCAAACTATAATCTTACAGAACGCCTTGAAGCACATTTCTGAGCAGTACCAACAACTACGTGATTTTGAGCAGGAATGCCTACATCTTTTTGTTACTTTCCCCACAAGATAGCAAAGCTTTTTAATTCCATTTGGAAAATCCTGATACCTAAATATGGTTGGAGGGTTCCTCTTTGAAATACCATCAAGAAATCCTTGTTAGAACGATATAAAAATAAGATTCAGACCGATTTTTCAGTCCGATTAGCAAGACAACTCAAGCCAAATCTCTGGAACCGCTCATATCGGGATAACCAAGGTATCTAAATGTAGGAACCTGAAAATGTGCTCCATTCAAGTTGACTACATTTGACAGAATCCTCTGATGTGTTGGGTCACATTTAACCCCCTGTAGATTTTGCTTCCCATCAGTGTTTGGTTATGAATGTTTATTAGTTTCTTATTTAACTTGTTAATACATACCAACATTTCTTCTGAGCACCGCTAGAAGGGCCCTGAGTAAGACCAGAGGTACTTGTACAACAGTTTGAAAACCAAGGGGGTTAGGGTTAACAGGGGACTGAGAGGGTGTAGAGGCAGGGCAGCCAACTCGAGACCAGAAAGTCCCAGGTTTGATACCCAGTCATTGCACATCTCGTGGTGTCTCTGAGCAGCACACCTCATGCCCAATTGCTCCTCGGGTGATTTCAATAGCTGCCCACTGCACCACCTGGTGGTGGATGGGTTAAATGCAGAGATCCCATTTTGAACATACAATGATGACAACACATAACACATTATTATTATTATTATTATTATTATTATTATTATTATTATTATTAT